CTAAGCACCTTCAAACCAAGAGTTTTCCTTAACAAGGCGTTCAGTCCTTTCTCGTGCCAGATGTGAAAACTTACATTGTTTTTACCATCGTGATTTTCTCCTTTTTTCCGCCCTTATGGATACTTTCTCCGTCCAAACCATCGGAACGATGTCTCTGTAATGGGAGCTTTTCCGATGCTATTCCTCACGTGAAAATCCATAATAAGCTTTTCGCATAAATGTAATTATTTATCCTATCATCGGCACGGTTCGGATAAAGTATTGAATATCCATTCTGAACCCACGATGAACTTACGAGAGATGATAGAAAGATTGCGGTTTTTAGTTGTCTTATTGTAATTATTTATTATAACAATATTCTTTATATTTGTAATAAATGATGTATCATGAAAAATAAATTTGATAACTTTTATAAACTAAAATATAGAGATCTTTTCTCAATAAATACTTTATTGGTCAGTTAAGAAAGAAAAATGAAATTATACAAAATTATGACCAAATATTTTTTTAAGGCTTGTCAATTAAACTATGGCAACTCATATAATATTTTACTTCGAACGTCATCACACGTAACATTCATATGATTATCAGTAATCTTTATTTCTATGGCTTCGATGAAGACATTAATCATACATTATATATTGGAACTGGTAATTACCTACATTTACATCTATATTATAAACTGTTAGTCATGCAATTCAATATCAAACATGTTTTGAATTTAACCCACGTCATATAATTACTATTTAGTATGTTTAACGAATCGCAATTAATGATATGAAAAATGAATAAGCACGATTTAACTAGGAAAGATTAAATATAATATTGCAAATATAGGTTTGATATGAATGGTTTGAAAGCTCAGTTAACACAGTTACTAAGGAGTAAACAAAATTTTGGGTTTTTTATGTAAATTTTGCTCAACTCTATATTATCAAATATTCTCTATTTTAAGTTGTTAACAAGGTTTTATAAAAAATTTAGAGCCCAATTTGTAGCCCAAATTTAAAATATTTGTTTCGATTTATATTCAAACCCTTTTATTTGATAAAGAGCTTATATTTTATAATCGACATCACACATTCCAAATATAATTTATTTATTAATTTATAATATATCCTTAAACTTCATCTAAATATTAGTGTTTTCCACTCCTCCAAGTGGAGCATCGTATGATGTATCAAAATTTGCATATTATATTCGTACTATAGACATGTAGTTAATATTCATCTTGTTAATGAAATCATACCAATACCTCATTTTAATAATGAATAATGTATTTTAGTTTCACTTTGTAGATTTTACAAAAGCGATGATGATCATAAAACAGGATGATGGAAATGATATGCACTAGTTTCATGTGCACATTTTAGAGATATGAATTATTAAAATATTCCAATATAAAATTTATAGTTAGGTTGCGATTCGTGGAATTATTTCCAATGGAAAAAGTGATACAGTAAAATTAAATTATATATATACATTCAACTAACATGTAAAATTCAACCATAAAAATTTATTTCTGGATAATCTGTGTTTCAAATAAGTCTGTAATAAATATGAATATTATTATTTATAATGTCTATTTAACTTCTCTGCATACTTTTTTGGTTATATTTTTAATGAAAACTAAACACAATATGGTTAATATACGGCATTTGTTCTACAGATTTACAGGTTCTATAAGTTATGGTCGTCTTCATCACATTATTTTATTATTTTACCAAAATGTGTTCCAAATTATGCAAATTATATAACATATTTTTTGAATCATGTATTGTATTAGTAATAATAACTTTTGTAAAATTTATTTGACTTTTCTTACATACAATTAATCAGTTTTCATAAATAGTTTACTTAAATAGATGATATTTTGTGTGTGTAAAAATCCTAACTTTTAATTTAAAATGATTAGCCTTATACTAATGTAGTAAATTTCTAGTAAAAACGTCAAGTTATGTCCTTCATAAAACTTTGTAGCAATATTTATGTCAACTTTTACATATCAAACAACGAACAAAATATAAAATAACTTATTTTAATACAATACACAATGCCTCCAATATCACACAACTGAACAGAACATGTTTATCTAGACATTAAAATCTTATTATAGTATAAAAAATGATATCAAAAGAATGAGTTTTTCAAAACACGCTTTAATGTGTTGTAACTTTTTTATTTGCCGAGGTTAATCTTTTACGTGACGTAAAATTCGGAAAAGTTTTTTCATATATGGGCTTTTCATATTATTTGAAAATGAATAATAACAGGGTAGTAACATTTATTACTCTATCTGCGAGCTAAAGCGAATGTTCATGTGGTTATTAATTTTAGGAATCATGTAATTATGCAAAATAATGCGAATTTTCGAGCACATAACTACAAATCACAATAGTAGAATTATGCTTTGTAAACAAAATTTTAATGATTATTAGGTTTATGTAAAATATGTACATGTGTTAAAATGTATAATGTTATGTTACGATAATTAAATAACTCGGTTTTCATGATCGTTACGAGTTATGTAAAATATATGTAATTAATGTAGTTATTTGATGACTGCCATTAATTATTTTGTAATATTAAATTAATTAATTGTAATACTACTTTTGATAATTATATTTTAAAATGATCAAACGTTAAATTTAGCTGACACTATTCTTCAGGTATATATGATAATTTCATATTAATACTATTGCAATATCATTTAGACGGCACAAATTAACTAATTTCAAATCAAAATATTACTCCTTACGTGTAATTTTTTTTCATAAATATTAAATATATTTATTGTCCATATTTATATTACATGTTTCAAAATTAATTACATGGTGTGATGCTATTCCATTACCAGGACAAATTTATTTTTCTATTTAATGAACGGCCAAAACGTATGGGTTTCGAAATTATTTTTTAACTAGTGGTGCATGGCATTGTGTTTGAAGGCAAATTGTTGGTACTTCCCGTATGGTTATTGAACATTCGCTGAACTAAAATAATTAAGTTACTAAGTCTTAATTGAAATATTTTTGTTGCGATATTTCACAAAATAATGACTATAATCATCTCTGTAATGATGTCCTTCTTTGTCTTCAAATTACTCTCTTATATTATCAATTTGTTAATTTTATTTATACATGTCATTTTGAAATATTTTTCATGTCACAAAACGTTATTTAATTCTTGATATTATGCAAATTATAATTTCCTGTATAAGATTGATGTAAAATATTATAAAAATAAGGATTAGAAATTATTTTTAATCATTAAAGAGGTAATTACGAGACATTAAAGAAGTAATTAAAAGGCATACACGTATGAATAAAATATTTTAATTTTGCACAATAAAAAAAATTGCTTACTATTATTATTCCAACTACTACTTACACTATTATTCCAAAACATCATGCTTATGTCTAATATTAAACTAAGAAGCCGATTCTTTCTAAGATGTAAAATAGACCAATGTTATGGCTAGGCTATGTTACGTTCCAGTTTTATACAAAATGCTACTAAATACTGTCAAAATTCCATGTATTTGCTGAGGCGATCAGACATTTTACACATTAAATGCAACTTTACTCATATGTTATTATATCGCATCACAAAGATACAGTTATGATAACATTGTATTGCTCTTACTCACAAGTCTTTTTAGTAAACTTAATCCCATTAATTTAAAACTTATACAGACAATAAATTAATCAACTTTTTAAATTGAATAAATTTTTGCAATATGCCACTTGATTTAAGCCTTCAATTTTCCTGATGAAGATTGAAATAACTTAGTTATCATTTATGAAAAATTATTCATAAGAAAATAGTTAAGTTTATATTATAATCATTAAAATATTTTTAATATTATTTATAACGAATGAAAAAACAACTATTGAATTTTCTCTAATATGTCATTATAATATACAATGTCCCTATTACGGCTTAATATTGTAGCGAATACAATGTCCCTAATTCTTAATATTGTAGCGAAGAAAAAATGACATTATTCTTTTTTTTGATAATTGTGTGTTTTCTGGGTTTATATCCTAAACACCTGACTGCACAGCAACCATTTGGCATTTTGTCAGTATTTAGTACCATTTTGTATGAGAACCGTTAGGTACATAGCCCCTAAGTGATATAGGTCGATTTGACGATAGAATTTGTCCCTAAATGAAACGAATAGGAAGTATAAAATGAGCAAATCCGATTTTTCTTCAGGTAGTTAATAAATTGACAAATAATATTTATAGCTACCGATTTTTGTGAAGATAAATTAAAGATTTGTGATGCTTCTGACGAAAGGGAACCCATTTTATATTCTATATTCGTTCTTTTCCTCCTAACCCTGTACGACGTCCTTGCCATTGGGAAAGCAATTCGGATTCCCTTATGAAGTCCGTATTTATTAGCAGTAAGAGCTCGGGTACAGTAATATATCTGGAACGTAATCTAAAATCGATTTGTAGCGTTGACACTGGCAGTTTTTTTTCGGGAGTGCCAATTCAGCACCACGGCCACATATGAGATTTCAGATTGTGTTTATCGATTCACTAGAAATGGCTTTCCTGAAATAAGGTCTTATAATTTGATGGACGAAAATTTTAAATGTGAAATGGTAAATGATAATGTTGATATCTTTCGTAATATGATTATAATGATATTCAACTTTCTCTATGGTGAAAATTTGTGATTTTGTTTATAGGTGGTGATATTTGAGAAAAATCTTACATAAATTTTTTCTTGATCCAAATTTAGCTAAATAAATATTATATCGTAAAAAAGAAATTATCAATATTTTTTATTGATCCACTTTATGTGCACATTCTAAATGTTTATTTTTTGCATATTTTTTGGATGGAAAAATTCGGCGCATGGGGTTTTAATTAATTTAATTTAATAATTACATTGATTACATCTGTAAAGCTATGATAACTAATGTTTGTTTTGATTTTTCTCCACAGACGGAGAGCCGATTAAGCTGCCAGATAATTTGGAAAGTCTGCCACGAGCTGAACATTTTCCAACACAGAGGCATCGCTGGAACACGAACGAGGTCAGTTCGAAAATATTTTCTGTAATGAATATTAGCGAAAATTTGTTTTTAGTTTTGAAATTAAAGGCAATTTATGTTTGGCAGTTCGTTTGGCAAACATCGTCAAAGAAATATATAAAACATGTATTTGCACTGGTGTCCTACATGTACTGGATATTGGTGTCCTAGATTGTTAGTTAACACTCCTGAAAAAAGATTAATTGTTTCTTTCAATATTTTGTAGAATAGTTATGAGGTTATAAATTACTTATAAAATGGTACGACATTTAAAATTTAGGAACTTTATACAATTAATTTGTACAATTAAATGCATTTATAGATAGTAGTTACCTCAGTAAGTAGTTACTATTAGATACAATTCATTGGATCAAGTTAATAGGCCATAATTTTTTAAGTCGTCTTGATTCTGGTGTAGGAAGCAGCGGAGCAAGGGGGTAAATTGGGGTGATTATCTAATTAGTGATGATGCTTAGTGGATTTTGTTTTTATAAAATATTTAATATGTATCACATTTAAGTCATCATGCAAAGTTTACTTGCTTTATTACCAGGATGAAACTATCATCATTCTAAGTAGTTTATCATGGGTCCTCTGTACCAATGCCGCATTAGATTTGCTAGAGCAGCCCCAAGCTCTATGCCGTATGACCAGATAGGATTTATTATTGTCATAAAAACCAAGATTTAGGTTTAAAGAGATAATTTTAACTTATGTCCGATGAGCTAATATAGTTCCATAACTCTCGATTTCATAATTGGATTGGCAATGATTTATGACGAATTTAAAGCTTCTCGCAACCAACTAATATATAACTGAAACTACACTAACAATTTTGAAATTGAATCACAATATGTCACAAGTGAGGCCATATTTCATATCGTTAAAACATTATATGTTATTGTTTATCCCTGTTTTCAAACATACTTGACCAATTATATTTTTATAATAGTTTAAGAACCTTATGCATTCGTAAATGTATTATTCTTCCAAAACTACATCAAACATAAATCTACGTCAAATTACGAAGTAGCATTCCGTTTCTTCTATCTATTATTTTACAGCAATTAAAAGTTTTCGAAACTAGACCTAAGAAAGTGGTAATTATTCAAAAAGTGCTCCGTATCGTTTTCGGAGCATAAACTGGCGCAATTGGAACCGTGCCAGGCTAAGCGGCGTCCGACGAATCGTTAATATCCAGGATCGCCGAAATGAAGGATCCCCATTGGGGCTAAATGCTCCTATACCGCGATCGTGGGAGCTGCTCCCGAATTGAGTTTGTAACCGTAATATCGATTTAACAATAATATAATTTCAAGGTGAAACAGACACGTGGAGAACGGGATGACTTGGAAATTTAAGGAATAGGTCAATGATCGGATGAGATTATGAGAATTATAATATGATAAGTTGTGTTGAAAATTAGGTAATCGGTGACCATCGGGTAAAGAAAAAGGAAGTAACATGATATGTCTTAGCAAAATTGTCAGAAAATCAAAATGATATTTTAATAAATACCAAATAACAAAATATGATGTATTATAACATTATAATCTCTCAAATCTTTAACAATATCTAGAAATGAGCACGTCAGATTTACTCATCTGAAATTTTGTGTGGTCTAAAAAAAATGGGTTGTGCGCTATATATATATATATATATATATATATATATATATATATATATATTATATATATATATACAAAATTTTCCTGTACGGGTGTAAGTCGAGGTACTTTTATAAATCTTTCTGAAGTTTGTTAAGGCATTGTTTTAGAATGTAAGTGATTATAAAAAGATAGTAATATTTAAGAAATAAATAAAAAAAATTGATGAGAACTGTCACCTGGCAGTATCACTTATGAGCCTAGACAATATTAGAATGTAATATATTCATGATTATGAATAAGAAAAATGTAATTTCTACAATATTATTACTGAAAAGCAGTAAATATCAGCATAGCTATTCAAAATTGAATTTTTGAATTGTAGACACGGGCAACGTCTGCGGTGGTTTTTCAATAGGATCTTGTATTTAATCATTTATTTAATGTTAAATAAGTTTAAAGAATATGAGAAGAGGTTAAGCAAAAATAGGTTATGCGATAAATGTAGGAGACGTTTTATTTAAGAGGAACAAGTAGTAACGGGCGATTTTAATAGGATCTTTTTTATTATTTATTAAATTGTTCATTATGTAATTATTACCCATTATCGATATAATTTTAGTTAATGCAATCTAACTATGTTCCATTTTATGTTATATTCAATTTCTCTATGACCAAATCAAATTTTCAGATATGTATATAAGTATATACAAGAATTTTGTATATGTATATAAGTATATATAATATAAGAAGCTTTAGTCTTCTCCCGATCGTTGTTTGAGCCGCTGCCATAAGCGTTATATAAAAGCATTAGTTTTGTTCCGAATATCTTGCAATTTGCCGCTGGGATAGTTATATAATACACACCGCTTGAGTGTTCTTGCCGCGGCGTCTTATTCCAGAATCAAGCGGCATCGAAAAAAGGTGATTTTGCTGGAGCAGGTTATAGATATTGGCGGTTTGGTTTTTAACGATATTATTGAAATAATAATAATAAGTAAATGCAGTGAACCAAAATCTTTAATGTAAATTTCTTCACCATCAGTTATTCCATATATTTTATATATAAAATGCTAAATAAATTCATCAAATAATCTATATTTCCTTATTTACAGATTTTATTCATATATTATTTTATACAATTTTTACTAACCACTACCTTATATTCATGATTACAACAAAGTGGAACAAGAAAAAGAAAACAATAATAAATATTATAGTCGTAGATACATACCTATTCATAATTAAGAATTGTTCCCAACCTGATGATGGTATTAATATTATTATCGTTCACTTAATTTTAAATTTCGTGCCATTTCGGTTTATGATAATACTTACAAAATTCACAATATGTTTTCACCCAAAAAGTTTTATATAGTTTGCACTTTCAAATATACTATCATTTATCAAATATTTGTTTATAAATCAGAAAGCTTCACCAATTTGTCCTGCACCATATTATCATTACTTGTTTATCTATGATTACCATACACCACTGGTTCTTTCTTATATCTACTTTCATGATATGTGGTATAGTATGCAATACCATATTTCTATATTTATTTATAAAGCAGTTTATGCGATCCAGAAGAAAAACTGTAAAGCATGTCCTGCCTTCGGCCCCAAAGCCGTTATTCCCATCGTCCTATCCTTTGCCTTATGCCCTCGATTATACGATCATGGATTTCATCATTCACTAGATAAAATCTTCCGGAGTTGTCGAAGAGAAATAGGCAATGTCACTGAGCGCGAACCTTACATACTAAGTAGACGTTCGATATAACGAACAAGGAGACGAG